AACCTTTACACCAGTCTTCTCCTACCATTTCCGATGTTCTGTTGAAGTTATGCTAGCAGTTATTCTTTTCTGCTAGCTGGTATGCTAGTCGGTGAAACTCTTTCATAGTCATGCCGAACAGTTGTTTTTGCATTTCTTTCAGATAAACGACAAGCTCAAGCTCTTACTTAATAGTAAAAACAGAGTTTTATAATTTAACTTTAAACTTACCCGTTTTTTCTGAACATAACGTTCCAGCGTTGATGATGGGACACCAAACGGATTAGACGCAGCCACATATCCCATTTGTCCACTGATAACCGCATCTACAGCTTGCTTCATGACATCGGTAGACCACGATGTGCCGGGTGGTCTTCTTTTTGTAGTAACGTACCATCTGCGATCAATAAAAAATATAATCCATACGAAAATTTCAGACGAGAAAATACGAGAAGAAAAATATTTATCAATACTCAATATAATCAGTGGCGGATACGGTATACCCACCCAGTGTGTCCCAGACAACCGTTCCCAGGAATATTAGTCTTATAATAGCTTATGTTTATTGAACGCGAGATATTACTACAGTTTTAGACAGCTAGCTGATGTGGTGCTACCGTCGAATGCTGAAGATTAGTTGGGTTGAAAGAATAACAAACTGTGAAGTAATACGAAGAATAGGAAAAGACCCAGAGATTTTGTTAACGCTAAAGCGAAGAAAACTCGAATATTTTGGTCACCTGATGAGAGGACATAAATACGCATTACTTCAAAATATAATGCAGGGAAAAATAGAAGGAAAACGGAATCCAGACCGTAGAAGAATGTCATGGTTGCGGAATTTGAGAGAGTGGTTTGGCTGCACCACTAATGAACTCTTTAGGTCAGCCGTAAACAAGGTCAGAATAGCCTTGATGATTTCCAATTTCCGATAGGAGTGGCACAAAAAGAAGAAGAAGAGAGCTAAAAGTATATTGAAACACACATGTAAGGTTAATTTCGAAAAAAAGAATAGTAAACAGTATAATTACCGACACAACGAAAAAATTATAATTTACAGGTTTCTTCTTTGATCTCCGATAAAACACCAACCATGTATACTCCCCATACTCGCAGACTGATAACGATTACTTCACGACTGGACGTGACGAACTAAGCATTTTGTGTGATATTCGCGCGTCTATGTCGTTTGTAGGTATTATCACGTCGGTTTCCCATTCTGCCCCGGTACCCTGTTCCACCCAGGGTTACCCTACCTTGTTTATTTCCGAGCTTGTAGATCAGATGTCCCAAAATTAACCATTAGCAGTAGTTGTCGTATGACTTTTTATATCAATTCTAATAACATTAGATGACATATTAAGGCACAATTGCACTTAGACGACATTTTGATTTATTTTAGATTTGCTGTTATACACACTTTAAAATACAAGTTCTCTGATTAATTGAAAAATATGTAACTAACCAGCGTTCATTAATTAATTGTTTAATATAAATAGTATTTCTAGAAACAGTAATAGAAACAGTTTGATATAACGATAATATATGATAAGTCACAATAGAATAAATACATATATCAACGTTTTGGTTCGAAAACGCCCCAGACTGGCGCTTATAAAATTATTGACGTCATGAGAAGCAGAGGTCAATCAAATAAATTTCAAATTATAAGAAAAATCAACAAAACAATGATGTAGCTGAATAATTATATTTAGTCATTCTGCCAAATCAACTTTGTATATTTTAGTTTTAATAAAACAATAGTGCAATGACCTATTATCAGTAGATCTAGCCGATATGTTTGGTTTCTCGTTTATTAACCTGTCTAAGTTAAGATTTTCTTTTTTAAAATTTTTAAAGATTGGTTACCAAATCATTATATATTATATTAAAGGGTTTTATCCGATTCTTTGAATGCCAATAGCAAAATTTGGTGCTCATACCCTATTTTTGGTAAAGGCAAAATTAAAGAAAACGTTTTAAACTGGTCAGACACATTTCTGTCAAATACTGGACTCAAGACCCACTTTATTATCTTTTGAGGTTCATTTTCAGTCATTGATCTTAGCCTGTATGATCCCAAAATTATACTTTTACTCCTGGGAAGTTTTTAATGACCTACATGATAGCAATCACTTTAGTTTCATTATATCTACTCGTCCAATAAGAAAATCACTACTAGCAGTTTCTAGAACTTTAAAAACGCTGATTGGTCAAAATTTACTTCGAAAACGATGTAATAATATCCTCCTGGGCTATTAAAGAGGTTACAAATATTACTAAAATATATTTCAATATAAGGTTGAATGTTCGAATAATTAAACTTTGATGGTATACAAGGCAACTATCGAACACAGTAATTAATTAAATCTTGCCCAAGTATTTTCGATCAATAGATCATCTTCAGGGGCATCTGAAATAAGCCAAGAAACGTTTTTTTATAAAAAAGGAAAATTAATTCACTTGGATAAAAAACTCCAAGTTTATGGTTGAAAAAAGTTTTTATGTGATAAACGTTTATAGACTTACTTCGTCAGAGGCGTTTATAGACTTACTTCGCAGAGGCTTACTACCTCGGATAGGCCACAACTGACGAAGTAAGTCTATAAACGTTTGTCACATAAAAACTTTTTTCAACCATAAACTTGGAGTTTTTTATCCAAGTGAATTAATTTTTCTTTTTTATAAAAAAAACGTTTCTTGGCTTATTTCAGATGCCCCTGAAGATGATCTATTGATCGAAAGTACTTGGGCAAGATTTAATTAATTATTGTGTTCGATAGTTGCCTTGTATACCATCAAAGTTTAAAATATATTTTCCTGATGCTCACTGCTGCCAAATCTCATATCAGTAAAAAGATCTCCTATACTTACAAAATAGTGCCTTAGTAATACTCAGATTGTAATAATGCTATCCAATTACCCAAGATTGTTATAAGTATATGTACAATAAAATCCATGAAAACCTTCTTCTACATAAACAACTTAAGGTTATTTGTAAACCTTAAGCCATATCTATCATTAGCCATAGCCATAGACGTTGCGGACAGTAGGTAGGAACTCCTTAGGGGTCACTTGGATTATATTAGATAGTGTTATCAAGAAAAGTACATCAATCCCTGCCCTCTGCAGATTCCAGGAGATTCTTGATCCAGGAAACTAGCACCTGTTAAAAGTCCCTTGCCTCTTGTAAAAAAATTTTAAGAATAAACGGTCACCAACAAACAGTAAACATCTTAATAGAAAAATGGATAGAATATAACAGTTCACTAGTACTTATCTTCGTAGACTTTCACAAAGCCTTCGATGCCGTGAAATTAGACAGAATTATATCTGCTCTGAACAATAGTAGAATAGACTTCCGGCTTACAAAGTTAGTACAAACATTGTACCAAAACGCCACAATGCGTGTAAAACTACATGATACCACCATAGACATTCATAAAAAGCGAGGTGTGAGACATGGCGATAATCTCTCTCCGAAATTATTGATAACGGTCTTCGAATACGCCTTTAAAATGCTAAAGTGGGAAAATACACGAATAAAAATAGACGGGGAAATGCTCAATTATCTGCGTTTTGCCGACGATATACTACTTATTACCGAAGATCTGCGTGAAGCACAACAAATGCTAAATTTATGACAAATTTGGTTCTCAGTGAACACTTAACCATCCAAATTCAAGTGGTCTTCTTCTTTTTGTGCCACTCCTATCGGAGATTGGAAATCATCAAGGCTATTCTGACCTTGTTTACGGCTGACCTAAAGAGTTCATTAGTGGTGCAGCCAAACCACTCTCTCAAATTCCGCAACCATGACATTCTTCTACGGCCTGGATTCCGTTTTCCTTCTATTTTTCCCTGCATTATATTTTGAAGTAATGCGTATTTATGTCCTCTCATCAGGTGACCAAAATATTCGAGTTTTCTTCGCTTTAGTGTTAACAAAATCTCTGGGTCTTTTCCTATTCTTCGTATTACTTCACAGTTTGTTATTCTTTCAACCCAACTAATCTTCAGCATTCGACGGTAGCACCCACCACATCTCGAAACTTTCAATATTTTTCATGTTGTTCTGTTTGAGAGTCCAGTTGTAGATTCAAGTGGTAGAATTGATAAAAAAAGTACATATATCTCGGTCATGAAATCAGAATAAGCAAGGATAATCAGAGCTGTGAATTTCAACGACGCATAACACTTGCATGGGCGGCGTATGGTTTACTAGGAGCCATCTTTAAGAGCAACATCCTGATTGGTATGAAACGGAAGACATTAGACCAACGCGTTTTTCCTGTTATGACATACGGAGCAGAAACTCTAACTCTCACAAAAACTACAGCACTAAAAATGCGAGTGGCACAAAGGCACATGGAAAGATCGATTCTTGGCGTGACAAAAAAAGACAAAATAAGGAACTACGACCTAAGGAAAAAAACAGGTATCACTGATATCGTCGAATGTATAGCCAAGCTGAAATGGAATTGTGTAGGTCACATACCGAAACTAAAAGACTTACGATCGACCAGAAAACTAATTGACTGGCGCCCAAGAGAAGACAAACACAGCAAAGGACGACCACCAACATGCTGAATGGACGACATTAAATGAATATCCAAGAAATGGCAACAAGGCGCACAAAACCGTGAAGATTGGCAAAAAATCGGAGAGACCTATGTCCAGCAGTAGTCAGAAGAGGTTGGAAGATGATACCCATTTAGTAAAGCAAAAAAGATCATCGCAAAATCTCACTTCCCCTCTAACATACAATACAAACTCCACTCAACTATGGAAAAAAATTTCACTAATCCAAGGCAGTAAAAGATTCTTTCTCTAATTTTAAAGGATTTTCAGACAGTCAAGTAATTGCTGGCACACTGTGTACTCATTACACAATTTGCTTTGTCTTCTGTAGATTCGTGAATTTGACAGACATAAACTAACTTCCTCGTTTGCTGTATTTAGCTAGATTTTCCTGTCTTAATGGCTTGTTAATTAATATAATTTATTATTCTTTGTTTCAGATTTCGTCAGTCTCGTTTCAACGCCAGAAGGATCAGAAAGAGAGTGGTCTTCAAGCATGGAGATTGTAACGTTGTGCAAGGTAACGTTGCAAAGCGACGTAGAAAATACCTACAGGATATCTTCACAACGTTGGTGGACGCACAGTGGCGCTGGACGCTGTTGGTGTTTGCGATGAACTTCTTTTTGTCTTGGTTGTTGTTCGCTTTAGTGTGGTGGCTTATAGTATTTACTCATGGGGATCTCAGTGAGGAGCATTTAGTAAGTATATGTTAAGAGTGTCAGGTTCATTATATGACTTGAATGTATAACTGAAATAGTTTTTACCTACTTTAATTAGTTGTTTGCACACGGATATCATATACAAATTATTAACAACTAAAGTGTCACAATAGAATGTAAAAATAGGACACGACTGGCCCACTTCTTTTTTTTCGGATTTTTGTTGTAATACTCGTTTTCTGAAATATAAATAATTATTTTGCATTCAAAAAAATGTTTAGCTCAATAGGGCGAATATTAAAAGTGCGAGGCCACGTAGGTCCCGCAAGGCCAGAAATTCTAAATTTCACATTTTTGCCCAGCGAGACCAATGTGGCACCGCATTGCGTCAGCACTTTATACAAGCGCAGACAGGTTTTATGACGTTGTCTGCGAACTGCCGAGTACCGATAGAAGTTTATTTATCTGTAGTTGCGTTTTGTTAGTCTTACGAATAACATCTACCGCTTTCTCGTTATGGATAGTTACGAAAAGGAACACAAAAGATTAGAAGAACTTTGGCAAGAAATTATGTCAGATGAAGAAGTTAATTTTTCTAGTGAATGTTCAGATAATTATATACCAGATTTATCTGATTCGAGTGATTCAAGTAATTCAGATTGTGACGTACCTGTAATTAAAAAAAGGAGAGAAACAACAGTTAATAATGCACCTTCTACTTCATCTTCAGTTAGTAATTGTTCTGTAGACAAAACAATCTTCTTCTTCTTTGGGTGCCGTCTTCAATGAAGGTTGGCGATAACCTCAGCAAAATCATTTCTGTCCCTGGCTTTTCTTATTAAAGATTGAGAATCCAAACCAGTCCACTCACGAATGTTCTTCAACCAGGACGCCTGCCGTCTACCAGGACCACGTCTTCCTTCTACCTTCCCCTCTATAAGAAGCTGCAGTAGCTGGTATTTCTCATTTCTGTATATGTGTCCCAAATATGAGGTTTTCCGTGTTTTCATTATTTTTCAAGAGTTCTCTGTCGGTACCCATCTTGTGTAGGACCTGCTCGTTGCTCATATGCGCTGTCCAGGGGACTTTCAGCATCCTTCGAAATAACCACATTTCAAAACTTTCCAAACGCCTTAGTGAGTTGATTTTAAAGGTCCAGGCCTCCATTCCATATAGTAAGGTGCTGTAAACGTAACATTTCAGCATTCGGTATCGGATTTTGAGATTGAGTGTTTGGGACGTAAACATTTGTTTCATTTTTAAAAAGACATTTCTTGCTTGTTCAATTCGCGATTTTATTTCTATGTCTGGATCTATATCTTTCGTTATCCAGCACCCTAGATATCGAAATTTCTCGACATTTTCGATAATGTTACCATTCACGTTTAAAGCCATGGGTGGATGGATGGATGTTTTGGAGACAATCATTGTTTTTGTTTTCTTGACGTTAATGCTGAGGCCGTATTGTTCTCCGATCGATCTGACGCGATCTAAGAGTGTCTGGAGATCCTGTGTGCTCTCTGCAATTAGGACCGTGTCGTCGGCGTATCGTACATTATTTAGAACTCTGCCGTTAATTTTAACACCTTCTCTTGATTGCTCTAGTGCTCGTGCAAAGATTTCTTCCGAATATATATTGAAAAGTAGTGGTGACAATACACACCCCTGTCGTACACCTCGCTTGATATTGAATATTTCTGTGTCACCGGCTTCTGTTCTAACTGCTGCAGTTTGGTTAAAATACAGCGTTTGGATAATTTTAAAATCGTTCTCATCTAGTCCCTTTTTGTGAAGGCAATCCATCAGCTTATCATGTTTTACTTTGTCGAAGGCCTTTTGATAGTCAATAAAACATAAAAAGAGATCCTTTTTTTGGTCTCGACATTTTTGCAGCAGTATAATAAAACTGGTTAATGCTTCCCGTGTCCCAAATCCATTTCGGAAGCCAAATTGTTCATCACTGATATCCTGTTCACATTTCTTATAAATGCGTTGGTGAATAACTTTCAAGAATAACTTTAACATATGCGACATTAAACTAATAAGTCTGAAATCACCACACTTCTTTGCTCCCTTAGTTTTTGGAAGGGGAATAAAGACTGATTTTAACCAGTCTTGTGGAATTTCACCGCTTGTATATATTTCGGGGGCCTACATCGGGGCCAGGGGCTTTCCCATTTTTTGCGTTTTTGATTGCTCTCTCTACTTCTTGTTTTAATATAGGAGGACTGGTTTCATGGTTTTTATATATTATGTTGTTTAGTGGTGTGTCTGAGAATAGTTCTTCTATGTAATGTCCCCATACGTTGTTTAGATCGCTTAATTCCCATATCGTTTCATTCTCGTCGTTTGTTAATCTACAAGGGAGTCTTTGTTTTGTCATTCCAGCTAGATCTTTTATTTTTTTGTGAAGCGTTTGACTGTCGTGTCTCTTTATTAATTCTTCGATCTCTTGGCAGTTTTCTATCATCCAATTTTCTTTTGCGGTAGCTATTTCTTTCTTGATTTGACGATGTATCTCCCTATATTTTTCATTATCTTTATTTTTGTAGGCTCTTCGAGTATCCATCATTCCCAGAATTTTTTGTGTCATCCAGGGTTTAGATTTTCTTTTGTTATTAGTGTCTTTTATATATTTCTCGGCGCTAGTAAAAGCATTCTTGATTTCAGTCCATAAGCCTTCTGTAGTTGGTGATAACTCTCTTTGGAGTCTTTCACATTCCTCGTTGAGTTTAGTCTTTACCATACTTTGTATATTTTCTTGTTTAAGTAAATTGATGTCGGTTTTTCTTTTGTCAGTCTTTTTTAGCATTTTGAACTTTATTTTTAATTTAGCCACTAGTAGGTTGTGATCCGATGGCACATCTGCGCCTGGGTATGTTCTTGTATCCGTTACTGCATTTTATATCGCTGGTTTATAATAATGTAATCGATTTGATTTCGGACACAATTGTTTTTATTATCTGCGGGTGATTTCCACGTATATAGCCTCCGTAGTGGTAGCTTGAACCAGGTGTTCATGATAGTTAGTTGTTTCTCCTGGCAAAATTGTAGTAGTCTGTCACCTCTATCATTGCGATTGCCCAGTCCGTAATTTCCACAAATATGTTCCACTTTTCCACAACCCACTTTGGCATTAAAATCTCCTACGATTAATGTTGCTTCATAACTCTTTGTCATTTTAAGTAATTCTTGGAGATTCTCATAGAACTGCTCTATTTCATCATCCGACTTGTCAGCAGTTGGTGCATAAACTTGGAGTATGTTTATGTTTACAGGCTTACTCTGTAATTTCAAAAGAAGCATTCGATCAGAATAGGGTATGAAATCAATTACTGATTTTTTTATCTGCTCTGTTACTATAAGGCCTACACCATTCCAGTGTCTCTGCTGTTCGTTCCCCGAGTAGTATATTGTGTAGTCATCGATGGATACATTTCCAGAACCAAACCATCTCATCTCACTTATACCTAGTATGTCCACTCCAAGTCTTTTCATTTCACGAATGGTATTTTGAACTTTACCGGGTTCAAACATACTTTGTACGTTCCAAGTGCCTATTCGTACCAAGGATTGGTTATTAATGTATTCCACTTTCGGGTGGTTCCTTCTCGCGGGGATTCTTTGCACCCCCTGACCAAATACTAATAGACTCCAAAAAATAACACAGACAAAACAATAGAGGAAGTAATTAAATTGTTTAGTGTAGTGGAATCAAATGAAACAGAAAGTGAACAATCAAACTTACCTACGATTACTTGGAATCCAGTAACAGGGCAAAATTTAAGCGCTATTTCGTTTACTTTGCAAGAATATGAATTTCTGCCTGAATTATACGAGAACTATTATAACAAAGGACCATATGAGTTTTACTGCTTATTCTTGAACGACGATCTAGTAAATATGATGGTAATATTATAGAAGTAGGTTAACCTATTTTATAAAATGTATCTTTTCCATTTTAGGTTACAGAAACTAACAGATCTGCTCAACAACAAGTTGAAACAAATATTCATCCAAACTCGCGTATTACACGTTGGCATGATACTTCTCCGGAAGAAATTCGTAAATTTATTGGTGTTGTATTATGGATGGGTCTATGCCAGTATTCTAATATCCCAATGTACTGGTCCAACAATGATTTATTTCAGAATTATATTCGTAAAATTCTATCTCGCAATCGATTTCAAATATTGCAAAAGATGCTACACTTTAGCGATAATTCTGTAAATTCCGATGATAGACTCCAAAAAATAACACCAGTGATTACAAAATTACAGGAATCTTTTCAAAAAATATGTCGTTCCTGGTGAATACCTATGTATTGACGAAACACTAGTTCCGTTTAGGGGTCGCTTAAATTTTAAACAATATATAAGTAACAAAAGGCACAAATTTGATATCAAAATTTTCAAGCTTTGCCTAGAAGGTGGATACATCTATGATTTTAGTGTTTATTGCGGAAAAGAGTTTGATAAAGAACAAACTGTACCTTCCAAAATAGTTATGAAGTTAACAAAACAATTTGCTGGACTGTGGTCGTACTCTTTGTACCGACAATTATTATACATCTGTCACGTTAGCTCAAAATTTGCTAGATCGGCATACCAATTTAATTGGTACTTTACGCTCCAACAGGAAATTACATCCCAAGAACGTGATAGAAAAAAAACTTAAAAGGGGCGAAAGTGTAGCTGAAGAAAGTAACACAGGAATAATTGTTCAAAAGTGGAAAGATAAAAGAGATGTACTTTTACTAAGTACAAAATATACCGACGAAATGATTACAATAAACAAAAGGGGCCAGGAAATTCAAAAACCAAAAAATGTTATGAAGTATAATAAATATAAGTCATTCATCGATCTATTAGACCAAAGCAAAAGCTATAACAGTTCACTACGTAAAAGTTTTAAATGGTACCGCAAACTTTTTATTGAACTAATAACTGGTACAGCTCTTGTAAACGCTTATATAATGCATCAGAAAATTGCTAACGAAAAGATGACTATTACTGATTTCAGAATATCACTTATTACGA